CCTGACAACTGGGAACTAGGAAGTGCTGCCCCTGTCTTTGCGGTGGGGCTGTGTCGCAAGGGCTGTGTTGGCTTCTCTGTAACTGCCTGTTCACACATGACCAGGAGGCATTTACTTAGTACCTGCTGTATACACGAACTGTTGGGAGCACCTTTAGCAGTGTAATCAAGTCAAATGTCGATTGTTGTGTTGTGTCGTATCCCCTGGACCCTCCAATATCTTTCCAGAAAGAAACACGCCAACCATGAACCAAGCGGGCCCAGACAATGTCTAGTACTGTTGTGTAAAAAGACAAGATGGGAGAGAAAATGACGGGAGTGTGTGGGGTTGTGGGGGAGCCGGGAAGTGGTTAGACAGAGGTTCAGAGAGACATCTAGCTCCTAGGTGGAGGCTTATGGGAGGACCCATGTGATAGCTTGCAGGGTAGAAGAAGAGACAGGGAGAAGAACTGAGGGAAAAGAATTGATGGAGTGGACTCAGCTGGGCCTGTGGCTCTTGCAGCTTCAGGACCATGAACCCACTCAGGAACATGGGCCTGGGCTTGCTCCTCATAGACAAAGCCTCCCAGTCACTGGTGACTTGTTGGTGCTGTCTGCCACACAGGTCACCTCGAAACCAGCCTCAGCGGCTTTGTTTTCATACTAAGTCTTTGCTCAGACTTCTTGAGAATGGGGAGGGGAGGGGTCTGCTGCCTCTGAGACAGAATCCCTAACATTCAGATGGTAGATGTTCCTAAAGGTGAACACAGGGCCCATCACTTCCGGTAACATTGTAACGATGTGTTGAGAAGCCCTTTCAGAGACCAGTGAGCACACAGCTGTCTTTGCTGATGGGGAAGACAGGATCTCATGTAGCCCACACTGGCTTTGAACTCCTGATCCTCTTGTCTCTCCCTCCCTAGTTCTGAGATCACAGGCTGTGCCATATGCTGCCCCAGACAATAAGACATCAAAAGTCAAAATAAAAACTCACATGTAATAAACCACTTAGCTCCCCTTTCTTCCTCCTTTGAAACAGGCTTTCCTCTGAGGCAGACACTGGCCTCAAACACAAGATCCTCCTGCCTCTAGCTCCCAAGTGCACAACAGCAGCTCCTTCTGTCCTTTAGAACAAATTTCTAGTGCTTCTTTAAACAACTTATTATCTGTCTGCCCGTCCATCCGTCCATCCATCCGTCCGTCCGTCCATCTGTCTATGTATTGCATGTGTGTATGTGTGTGTCCACATGCATGGGCACGCACCACAGCACACATGTGGCGCTCAGAGGATAACTCACAGGAGTCGGTTCTCTCCTTTGTCCTGTACGCCCTGGGATCCCTGTACGTCCTGGGATCTAACTCTGGTCTCCAGGTTTGGTGGCAACCACCTTCTACCTGATGAGCCATTTTTAGCACTTCTTCAGCGGCGGTCAGCCAGCCAGTAGGTGAGCGAAGGCAATGACTGGCTCATTGCAGGGCTGTGCACATGACTTCCCTCTGCTGCATCTGTAAATGCTGAGGTCGACAGGCTTTCCTCTTGCTAATATCATGAGTAATTTTAGGTGTTCCCCCTTGTTTTATAAAACAACCAGCCAGCTACAGCAGAGGCAAGCAAGCAGCTCGGTCATCCCCAGAGGATAAATTTGAACCTGGGGTCTAAGTGGGTAAGCGGCCTTGGATGGAATGAAGAGCTTTGAACTTAAATGCACCAAAGAAGAGGACTCCTTCCCTGTAGAGCCTGCTCACGCATGGTGCTCCTGTTAAGGAAGCAGATGAGGGCCGGGGAGATGGCTCAGGGATGAGAGGCTCCTGCTACCAAGGTCCTGTGTTCAATCCCTGGGACCCACCTGGTGGAAGGAGAGAAGTGCTTCCTGCAAGTTGTCCCCCTTTGACTACACACATCCATGACATTCACCTCCATCCCCCAGACAGGTACACACAAACGAATAAATACAATCTCATTTAAAAAGCAAAACAGTGAGACAACAAATTAACACGGCGGGTCAGCTGGCAGGTTAGTTGTATCGGTGCGATCTAATGCATAGTGTTGCTGTGTTACACTAAATGCTGGTATACTATATATGACGTGACGATTATTTCATATGTTGGTTATATGATATTACATGGTGATTATACTGTAAACAACCACAAGCCCGGAAGTCCCCCCTCCCACTGCCCCTACTCATTTATGTGAGAAAGGGATGTGAAACTGAGCGGGGTGTGCATACCTTTGATTCCAGCGCTGTAGAGACAGATCTCTAGGAGTTGGAGGCCAGCCTAGGCTAACTAGTGAGGCTCAGGAAGGGGAGAGGAGATATGCACGTGCTTGTGTGTATCTACACAGACACCCAAGAAATGGAGTATCTGGAGGCTCCTCCGGCCTAGGGGATGAAGACTGGGCCCCTACTCAGGGGTCCCCTCAGGTACCACCTTACTGGAAAGGGGTGTCTTCCATGAGCTGAGATTATAGCTCTGAATCTGGATGGCCTATCTGTGAGTTAAGAAAGAGTCCGTATTTTAAATCTTTTTTTTTTTTTTTGGTTTTTCCAGACAGGGTTTCTCTGTGTAGTCCTGGCTGTCCTGGAACTCACTCTGTAGACCAGGCTAGTCTCAAACTCAGAAATCCACCTGCCTTTGCCTCCCAAGTGCTGGGATTAAAGGCGTGCGCCACCACTGCCCGGCTATGAGTCTGTATTTTAGAGTCTTAAAAATAGGGTATGGCGCAGGAGACATTACATGGGCCCTGTGAAGTAAGAAGCCTCATCTGGCTTTTCATTTGTTTCTTGAGGCAGATCTATGTGGCTCAAGCTGGCCTTGAGGGGCAGCCACGCCCCTCCCCCAACCCCTGCCTCCAGCCTGCCTAGTGTTGAGAGTCCAGGCCACACTCCTCTTCTCCCCAGCATGAGCAGGCTCTTTGTAGCAATTGACTGACCCCATGTCTAAGGTGAGACCACAGTGAGCCGGGAGCTACATGTAGTCTGTCTGCTCAGATTTGGCAGGACTGCTGATTGCCCATGGAGGTTGGGCTGTTTCCTTGTATACAAGATGAGGCTGAGAGTCACACCTGCCTTGTGGGAAGGCTGCAGGCAGAGTCCACACAGTAAGGGAGTGAGGGCTAGAAGGGTGCTCCTTGGAGCACCTGATGCACACACAGCGAGTGACAGTTATTGGGCCCTGCATCAAACAGACAAGCGGGCTGCACGTCGATGCCCAGATGTACATACATATGCACTTATAGATTGTACCGTGACATATAAGACATACAGAATGGGTGGTGCATAAGTAAAACCAAATTTCAGATCTTAAAAACATCTCACTGGTTCAGAAAAAAACAAAAGCAAAACAGAACCAACAAAGTCATGAAAGAAGAATAGGAAGTGGATTGTTCCTGATTAACAAGAAGACCTGGAAAAGTGTACGGTATGTGACCTTGGGAAGAAGTCTGGACTGGACAAACAGACACACGCATCACAGCCAAAAAAAGGTGGAAAAGGCTTTTCTTTTTTTGGAGACTGTTCTGAAGTTCAAACGGGCTCATAAAATCAATGTGAAGGTAAGGACACAGGTCAGACGCACAGCCACGAAGCATGTCCTGTTGTTGTGTTGAGTCAAGGTCTCATAAACCAGGAATGGCCATGGCTGAGGAAGACCTTGACTCCCCATCATCTTGTCTTCAAGTGATGGAGTCACAGCTGCCCTTGCTGGGGACAAAACCCCGGGCCTTTGTCCCTGTGAGACAAGAGTTCTACTAAAGGAACTGCATCCCCAGGCCAGGAGGGAGGAGTGCAGGGCCAGGAGGGAGGAGTGCAGGGTTGGCTATTTATTTTCAAGCAGCTGAAGTGCAATAATAGTGAGCAGAGCCAGTGTGGCGTCTGGTTATCTACAGACAGATGCTGTAAGCGGGAGACACTGCCTGGAACTTCAGGGAACTAATGTCTTTGGTTGGAAGATGTGCTGCGGCTAGATCAACCACTCATTTCCCCAGCGCTCAAAGCGTCAGAACAAACGGTGGGGCTATTCTCCGCTCAGATATTTACAAGTCATCCAAACAAGGAGTCCCCACAGACCTCAGCCCTGGATTCCCACTCCCGACACTTGTTACAATCACAATGACAAGCAACATTTAATTCCGGCCAGCGGCCTCCCTCTTCGCAATTGTTTCTTAGCTCTTTTGTATCTATCTTTCTATTGCATTTTGAAAGAGTAGGAGTAGACAGAAAAGCATCGACTGTGAGCTTCACTTTCCTTGTGGTCTCCACCTTCCCCACCGACTGCACACAGTATGGATGTGTAAAAAGCCAGAGGCTAGTCTCACAACATCCTTCTCCATCACCCACTTTACTTTTTGTGTCTGAAGCTGCAGTTGCTTGTCTTAGGGAGGCTGGCCAGAGAACTCCAGGGACCTTGCTGTCACCACTTTGCCATCTCTGCGGTTACAGGTACAATGCCTTCATGCCTGTTTTTTAATCTGGGTACTGGGTACTGAATTCAGGTCTTTATGCCCGTGTAGCAAGTACTATAGTCACTGACCCATAGCTCAAGCTCTGGCACCTTCTTGGGTTAGCAGTGTTATACACATGCTATAGTTCATGGCCCAGACTTGCAGTTTGTACCAGAGTTCCAGTTCCCAGTCCCCAAGGGATCATGAACACAGTCCATGGTCGTCCTTTATGGACTCAGCAAGGTCTAAGCTCTCCCTGTTCAAGAGAAGTGAGTCCCCGAGCCAGTTAGAACCCCTGAGAGTTGCACAAAGCACCTTCAGGATGGAGAGAGAGAGAATGTTTAAGAAGTTTGCTGGGTGGTGAAAAGACACACAGTCTTGGGACTTGGGCTGTCTGCCTCCTGCTGATTTCACCCCATCGTTTCCAGTTATTTTGAAGCCAACAACAAGTAAAGAGCAAAGCTTTCTCATTCCGAACCTGCCTGCCACCAATAACTTACCCTTCGTGTATATTAGAGACACAAAGATAAAACATCGAGCCAACTGTTGCTCTCCCGCACCCAGCCCCATCAGTCACTCACCTTAGGAGCACCCTCTCTGATGCTGGTGCCTCTCATGTCGGTGATGTGAGCAGGCTCCTCTGTGCTCTGCAGCTGATATGTCTGGTTCCAGAGCCCAATGATGCAATGTCACTGCATGCTGCTGGTTGGTTCCCAGAAGCTGGATTCTATGGAACTGTTTGCCAACACATGGAAACAGTCGAGAAGATTCTTTCAAGTAACGAGAGTCAAATGAAAGGGAAGGAGGAGGCGGGGCCAGAGCTTCAGGCCACACCCACGCCTCCATGCCTGACGTCTCACTTCATCGGTAAGTGGAGGCTGGCACTTGTTTGCTATGTGAAACCACAAAAGAAGAAGGAGGAGGGAAAAAAAAACCCACCCTTCTGCTTTACAAGGTGAAGTTCCTACTTTGAGCAGCCCAGCGTAGGATCACACCGCATTCTTGTCACTTGATGCTTACGGGACAACTCCCATCCAGGGAGCCAACGCATTTCCATGGTGAAGCAAAGGGGCTGGGCTTCCACTGGGGGGTCAGCATGTCTTCCTTCCTAACCCTAGCCCCTGCCTTGTGACAGCTGGGGTAACAGGAGTAAATGGCCTCCTGAGGAAGATAGAGGCTCTGCTCTAGTATTCCTCTGAGGACAGCAGGGTCTTTGTTCTGAATCCCACGCTTTCTACATCTTCACTCCAACCCTCGGTGGTTATTTTATGGCAGGCGCTGCCAAAAGCACCCGGATGCAGCCCCACACTTGGCTGTGTTCAAACGACCACGCTCTGTACTCACGAAGTGGAGTCCTCACAATTCCCCAAGTTTAAAGTTCTCCCCAATTCAGATCCAATATCCAGAGAGGAGCCACCCTGCCACGGAGGGCAAATTTCATTTCAGCAAAAGGGTGCCCTCTTCTAAGGAGCTCCTCCCAACTTGCCTGGGACTCCATCTGTAGACCAGGCTGGCCTTGAACTCACCAAGATCCACCTATTTTTGCCTCCCAGATGTGGGATCTAAAAGATGTGTCATAGCCAGATGGTGGTGACACTCTCCTTTGATACCAGCACTCCCAGGAGGCAGAGGCAGGCTGATCTCTGTGAGTTCAATGATAGCCTGACTTACAAAGCAAGTTCTGGGCCAGCCAGGGCTACATAATGAAACCCTGTCTCAAAGTAAAAAACAAAATAAAAAAGAAAGAAAGAAAGAAAGAAGGAAAGAAAGAAAGAAAGAAAGAAAGAAAGAAAGAAAGGAAGGAAGGAAGGAAGGAAGGAAAG